GAAAACGCCGTTTACGTGTGGACGAAAGGTGCAAACGCATAGAAAAATCTGCGTTTTCAAAAATACCCGGGTACGTGTGGACGTCTCTACTGAGGTGCAAGGATGGGGCACTGTGGTCACGAAGGGGTGGACATGGCCAGCAACAGTTCTAAATTAGAATAATTTAGTTTAAATTAAGTATATAAAATATTTTCTTAATTAATATGTTGGTATTGTGGCCTGTGCTATAATTAAGACTTTGAAAATTAAATAAATAAGTAATAAAAAAAAGTCTATATACAAATGTTCTGTTAATTAAGTTTACTAACAGTGAATGTTTAGAAGAGAGAAAGTGAGGTATTGGAGAATCTGTAATCATTTCCAAGAGCCTTGTAATAAAGATAAAGTTCTTGATGTCCGCACAGGAGCACATGTGTGATTACAGTATTATAAGAACATATGTTGGATTAAACACTTAACTAGGCACAGGTCACAGCAGGATTAGTCTGAGCAGCAGAGCCAGGATGCTGCTGCTTCATTCAGTTACCCATCTTACCTCATTGTATGCATGAACATTTAATGTACTTGATGTTATTTGAAGAAGTTTCATGTCTACAATATGTCAACAGGGACTTTGCATGATGTCCAAACCTTGCAGCGTAGAACAAACATGTAGGAACTGTGTTGATGTGGCATCTCAGGTTGAGATAAGACATAAACGTCGTCACATACTCTAATCACAAATAGATGATTTCCTGCATTCTGCTTTTACTGATTCTCTGCAAAGAAAAACGAGATTTAAGAGTGTCACCTGTGTGCTCGACCGATGTACAGTTTCAATAAAAAATTAAGTCAGAATTCTAAAATAATATATAAAAAAGAATTGGCATTGTACTAAATGTTAAAATGTGATATCATTATTTATCTATATCAAGTTGTGCAGCGGTGGAGCTGTGATTAGCACTGTTGCCTCACAGCAGCAAGGTCCTGGTTTGATCTTTCTGTGCATGCTCTCCACATGTTTGCGTGGGTTCTCTCTAGCTTCCTCCCACAGTCCAAAGATATGTAGTTAGTGGGGTCGGGTTAGTTGGTGTTTCTAATAAGCGGATGATAGTACATGACTTTGAGAATGTGCTAGAAATGGTACCGTTTTTATTTTTTTTTGATAATTTTATTATTGTAATGTTGGTTTTTAGTTTTTATCAGTATCTCCTAACCCTCTGTTTTGAGTCATGACCTGTGATTGTTTTGATTTAAATAGTCTTAAATATAAATTATTATGTTAAATACTTTGTGTCTTGCTCTGAGTATTATAATTATGGTTTCTTCATAATTGTGACAGGTTTATATTTAAAATTAGAAGAACAGATTAATAATTTTGACGAAGCACCGATGTGTATGAATATGTATGTTATGAGAGTAAAATGTTACACTTTAGGCTGAACCCTCACACTGAGTTTCATGTGTGATCCTGTGTAGGAGGAGAGAGATGGGCGCCGGCCTCGTCTCTGCCTCTTGAAAAAGGGCCC